GAAAGATAAGGCAGTCTGCTTCCGTAGGTAGGAAACCCTATGGGGCAATTCTACTCTGTCTTGTAGGGTTACCGTGAGTAGGAATCGACTCCAGGCAGTGGGTTTGGCTTTCGCTTTATGATGCTCTTTTAAGGAAAAGAAATCCCCTAATGCATTTCTTTGGAGCTCTGGTAGCATAGTGCCTAAGGCACTGGACTGCTAACCAGAGGGCTGGTGGTTCAAACCCACCAGCAACTCCTCGGAAGGAAGATGGGGCAATCTACTTCCGTAGTGATACTGCCTCGGAAACCCAAGGAGAGGTCGCTATGAGTCGGTCGGACTCGAGGGCACATAACAACATAACAACAATGCATTTCTTTACCTCACTCACCCGTATTGGTTTCATATATCTTGGAGAATCAAGCCTTGATCAGTCTGGAAGTCTTGCGACATGCTCCAATTCAGAGTGCTTGAAATTTTGTGTGTGTGTGTGTGTGTGATTAAGAGACAAACTATTTTTAAAATTAGCTTATGCTAGTCTCCTGACTCTGGAATTCTCTGTTTTCTTGTGTTAGGGCGTAAATATAAATAAAATATTTTCATCTCACCAGATTGCGGGAGGATTGCCCTAAACATTTTAATTTTCCTTTATTAATTACTTTTGGAATCAGGAACTTTTCTTGGGTCTCTTACTTACCAGACTACTGATATGATCACTTTCACTACAATGTGATCAGCCCAGTGGTCACTTTCAGTGCAGATAGTTGAAAGGTTAGGATCTAGAAGAAACATCACCAAAAACAGGAGGGAAAAAAATTTCATCTGGCCAAATCTGGCTCCTAATATATTTAACCAGTTCCAGAATTAGAAAGCCTTTCTGTACCTTTTCTTCTATTTCTCGCTCTCTTTTTTCTTATGTAATGAAATTTAAACTTTTGGAGCCCACAGTTGACATTTTTAAGAAAATTGAGTTATCAAGGCAGTAATTATTTCACGGGGAGATAAAACTCTCATAGCCCTAACTGTCAAATAGGGCCCTTTTCAGATTTTAATTACAAAATAAAATTAGTCTGCTCTTCCTCGAATGGTTTGTGAGTGGTTAAACAGAGCTTTCCCCCAATACTGGTGGTCGTCAAACTCTGCTAATTAGCAATGCTGAGAAATTCCAGTTAACAAGGACATTCTCCAAGACTCTGCAGGTTCCCTGCCGTTTGCCTTCATTTCCATAAGAAGATTAAGAGAGGAGGGGAACACACTCAAATTCAGATGCAGAAAAGAAGCGTTTTTTAACAAGCATCATAATAGTAAGATGCTTGGCTAGTTCTCACCTAATTACTGCAAGTTAAACCTCTATTTGCCTCTAAGAAGAAAAAATAAGTCTACAGTCCCCTATCTCCACAAAATTGTTAGTGGCTTTAGATATAATGCTTGAAGAGGGATGGGGGGTGGGGGTTAGGAGAGAAAAATCAATGCAAAAAAAAAAAAAAAAAAAGTTAAATTGAGTTACACTTAGCAGCTCTTTTTGGCTAGAGCCAACACTAAAACAAAATCAAATCAGAATTTTCCAATCGTTACGCATTTTTGTTCCTAATTACTTAATACTGCACTAAAAGTTCTTAGTTTGCTCGTTTTGTTTTGCTGCCCAAGGAAGGGAAATGTTACGCTCTCTTTAGATTAAGCACTTGCCATTTTTATAAATTCTGTCAATGGCAACATTTCAAATTCTCAGAAGATGAAGCACCCTGTTCCAAGTCTTATTTTGATTCTCTAGTAGTCAATGATGTATTGTTATTAGTACTGTAGCTGTCTGTTATGAGCCGAAAACAGTGTTGCTTCTGTCGACTATTGTGATTGTTATAGTTATTATTATATTTAGGGGCCATTGATGGTGCTGGGTTGAAATAGAGTGGCCATCGAGCTGATTTTTTAAATGCATATGTTCTAAAAAATCTAATGAGAAAATTGTTTCTGCTATCACCATCTTCTTTAATCTTATTTTCATAGCACATTATTATTCATAAATGCCAGCCACAGTTAGTTTATTGCCTTGATAAGTACAGCAGGCCTAATTAAAATAAAGCTGTAAATAAATGCAACCAATGATAACACAATTGTAATGTATTTCCATAGCTTATTTATATGATAAAAGCAATTAACAAAAGACCTAGCCAGCCCTTTTAACCTCTTAAATGCATTATTATAGAGTTCAGGCACAAACTCATGTATCAGAGAATATCCAAAAGCACTTATATATCATCTTAAGGAAATTAAATGTGCCTCTTCCTACTACTGAGGGAGAGTAAAAATATTTGCTTCTATAACAATCTGTTATTAATATTTATTTCAATACATATACCTCACTCTTATCCACACCTACCCCTTGTTTTTTTCTTCAAACTTAATTATCCATAAGCTTTATTTTTTAGTTTTTGGAAGAATGCTTGTAAGCTCAGACACACTGATAAACTGAATGCTTAGTCTGCCCTTCATGGCGTCTGGACAATCAAAATTCATTCATATGTTGAATCTCATAATTTGTACCTATTTTTTTTTTTCCCGTGGTTTAACCTCCCACTTATCTCGAGGTTATATGTACATTTGTAAGTTAAGCAAATTAAATCTGATTCTTATGATTTGGTCCCCAGCTTACATGATATGTTAACTTTTCTTTTGTTTAGATTACGTGTAATTAGTTTGATCGTCCTCCCATTCCCCTCCTTTTTTCCCTTTAATTATTTCCAAGCACTCTCTTTTTAAGGAAAAAGCTGTAGTCTTGAGAAAACAAAGACACCAGTAGGGGGCGCACCAGCCACATCCCTGAAAGCAGCCGCGCTGAAAAGCCTTGGCCGCCCTCTTCAGATCCTCTCAACCTTTCTCCTTTCCTAATCTCTAAGTCTGCGTTTAGTTTAATATTACACGTCGATTAAACAGAAGACATTGCTTTATTTTGAAAAATACCACTACTATATACGTTTCAAGAAGTCTAGTTTCACCCTTCTCGAGTTCCTAAAAGCTAAAACTAAGAATAACTTAAGAGGGGTGTTGATTGGAAATAATAATTAACAAGAGTCTGCAGGATCTTTTTTCACAACTTTTCTGGATTTCCAGTGGGCATACTTAGCTGCAGTTTGCCAAGAACAGAAAAGCCAGGGAGGGCAGGGATTGGAGGAAGTTTGAGAGGTTAAGGGGGCGGTAGAGAAAAGAAGACAGTAAGTAACAAAACAGTGCACCGTTTTGCAAAGATAATAAATGGAACGTGGCCGGTAGATACTATTCAGGACATTTTCTTAGGGTAAGTAAAGGGTAGGTCAGGGGAGGAGAGGGCGGAGAGAGTGTTACAGAAGAAAGAAAATAAGTAACCCTGATGGCTGATGGTTTAAGCCCTTTATAAAAAAGAAATGGCATCAGGGTTGTTTTTTTTTTTTTTTTCCCCCCCCCCCCCCTTTGTAGTCAAGTGCATTTTAGCCACAAAGATCCCAACAAGAGAGTGGAAGGAAACTTAGACAGGGCTTTGTTTGACTCCGTGTAGCGACAACAAGAGAAACAAAACTACCTATTTGTAACGGACGTGCTGCCATTGCTCTCCGCATTGAGCGCCTACCTATTGAAATCTTTACGTCCGGACAATGCGAGAGCGGCTAAAATTACCCTCTTGGGTCCGGGGAGGGAAGGATTCCTCAATCCCTACCCCTGGCCTCCATCCCATCCTCCTCCAGCCCCCGCCTTCCTGGGCTCCCCCCTTCCCCAGTCTTGGCCGCCTTCTCCCTGTGAGCGCTGCCTGCACCTGTGCCTGGCGGGCCCTACCCCTGCCTCCTAGGCCAAGAGCCCCCTCCGAGCGCAGCCCCAGATCCGGGCGATGCGGCCACCACGGCAGAGTCAGCGGAGGAAATGCCAAGGCTGGTTCTGCCCGAGTCCTGGGAACTCTGCGTGGGAGGGAGTTTGTGAGTGCGGCCCAAATGCCACCTCCATACTGTGCTGTGGGATGCCAGGAAGTTGAAATCACTCTTCCCCATTGCCTGCACTTCTGAGCGTCCTACTGTTTTTCTTTCTTCCCCTGGCCCCCACTTGAAACCAGCACAACTGAAATCCTTGGGGGGGGGGGGCTCAGAAGAAAAATGGGGAGAGGGGACAAGAGTATGCACATTCCTTTGCGCCTATAGAGCGGAGAAAAACTGGTGGGAGAAGGTAGGGGGTGGGGGAGGGGATGTTAGGGGACAAGATGTGGTTCCTGGGGCAAAGATCTATTTGGGGCAGGGAAAAGGGTGGTTGCCACAGCTCACCAAGGCCCTGCCAGTCCTCAGCGCTAGAGCCTGCTGCCTGGCCGGAGCAGGATTTATTTTTAAGAACAGAACAAGTTATATGGAAATAAGAAGGGTATTGAAGACTGCCTCCTAACGTCTTGTCCGACAGTGTCAGAGGGGGTGAGCCAGTGCTGGCACTTGTGGAACTAGCGGGGCTGAGGGAAGAGCGCGGAGAGGTAGAAGCACCAAGGGGCCATAGTTGGGGGGAAGTTTTGTGGATGAGCGGGAGAACAATGACACACCAACTCCTGCACTGCCTGTTTCCTGAAATACTAGTTGAACAGTGGCCCTGAACCACCCCCTCTGCCCTGCCCCACCACCGCACCTTAGCTGCCTCCCTCACCCCTTCCTCATTTCAGCACTTCGCAGCAAAAAGTAAATCAACATTAAGTTTAAAGGGGAAAAAAAAAACACCGTAGTCTTAGTACTGTTTACCCACTTCCTTCGAAAAGGCGTGTGGTGTGACCTGTTGCTGCGAGAGGGGATACAAAGGTTTCTCAGTGGCTGGCAGGCTGGCTGTGGGAGCCGCCTCCCCCTTCCTCTGCCCTCCCCTCCTCCCCTCCTCCCCTTCCCTCCCCCGCGGGGCCGACGGCGCTGCAGGCCCCGCCCCCTTTCATGCAAAACCCGGCGGCGAGGCTGGGCTCTAGTGGTGGAGCCGCCGCACTCTGATTGGTCGCTGGAAACCCATTTATTCCCTGACAGCCCCCATCACATGGATGGTTGTCTATTAACTTGTTCAAAAAAGTATCAGGAGTTGTCAAGGCTGAGAAGAGAGTGTTTGCAAAAGGGGGAAAGTAGTTTGCTGCCTCTTTAAGACTAGGACAGAGAAAGAAGAGGAGAGAGAAAGAAAGGGAGAGAAGTTTGAGCCCCAGGCTTAAGCCTTTCCAAAAAATAATAATAACAATCATCCGCGGCGGCAGGATCGGCCGGAGGAGGAGGGCAGCGCTTTTTTTGATCCTGATTCCAGTTTGCCTTCTCTCTTTTTTTCCCCCCAAATTATTCTTCGTCTGATTTTCCTCGCGGAGCCCTGAGCTCCCGACACCCCCGCCCGCCTCCCCTCCTCTCCCCCCGCCCGCGGGCCCCCCAAAGTCCCGGCCGGGCCGAGGGTCGGCTGCCGCCGGCGGGCCGGGCCCGCGCACAGCGCCCGCATGTACAACATGATGGAGACGGAGCTGAAGCCGCCGGGCCCGCAGCAAACTTCAGGGGGCGGCGGCGGCGGCGGCGGCGGCAACTCCACCGCGGCGGCGGCGGGCGGCAACCAGAAGAACAGCCCGGATCGCGTCAAGCGGCCCATGAACGCCTTCATGGTGTGGTCCCGCGGGCAGCGACGCAAGATGGCCCAGGAGAACCCCAAGATGCACAACTCGGAGATCAGCAAGCGCCTGGGAGCCGAGTGGAAACTTTTGTCGGAGACCGAGAAGCGGCCGTTCATCGACGAGGCCAAGCGGCTGCGAGCGCTGCACATGAAGGAGCACCCGGATTATAAATACCGGCCCCGGCGGAAAACCAAGACGCTCATGAAGAAGGATAAGTACACGCTGCCCGGCGGGCTGCTGGCGCCGGGCGGCAACAGCATGGCGAGCGGAGTCGGGGTGGGCGCCGGCCTGGGCGCGGGCGTGAACCAGCGCATGGACAGCTACGCGCACATGAACGGCTGGAGCAACGGTAGCTACAGCATGATGCAGGACCAGCTGGGCTACCCGCAGCACCCAGGCCTCAACGCGCACGGCGCCGCGCAGATGCAGCCCATGCACCGCTACGACGTGAGCGCCCTGCAGTACAACTCCATGACCAGCTCGCAGACCTACATGAACGGCTCGCCCACCTACAGCATGTCCTATTCGCAGCAGGGTACCCCCGGCATGGCTCTGGGCTCCATGGGCTCGGTGGTCAAGTCCGAGGCCAGCTCCAGCCCCCCCGTGGTTACCTCTTCCTCCCATTCCAGGGCGCCCTGCCAGGCCGGGGACCTTCGGGACATGATCAGCATGTACCTCCCCGGCGCCGAGGTGCCGGAGCCCGCCGCTCCCAGCAGACTTCACATGTCCCAGCACTACCAGAGCGGTCCTGTGCCCGGCACGACCATTAACGGCACACTGCCGCTCTCGCACATGTGAGGGCTGGCTTGCGAACTGGAGGGGGCAGACATTTTCAAAGAAAAAGCAAGGGAAATGGGAGGGGGTGCAAAAGAGGCGAGAGTAAGAAACGGCACGGAGAAAAACGCTACACGCTCAACAACGAAAATCTCATCACCTTTAGCAAATGACAGCTGCAAAAGAGAACCCCAATCCCTTCCACACTCACGCAAAAACCGCGATGCTGACAAGAAAACTTTTATGAGAGATCCTGGACTTCTTTTTCGGGGACTATTTTTGTACAGAGAAAACTGGGGTGGGCGGGGAGGGCGGGGGAATGGACCTTGTATAGATCTGGAGGAAAGAGAACTACGCAAAACTTTTTAAAAGTTCTAGTGGTACGGTAGGAGCTTTGCAGAAAGTTTGCAAAAGTCTTTACCAATAATATTTAGAGCTAGTCTCCAAGCGACGAAAAAAAAATGTTTTAATATTTGCAAGCAACTTTTGTACAGTATTTATCGAGATAAACATGGCAATCAAAATGTCCATTGTTTATAAGCTGAGAATTTGCCAATATTTTTCAAGGAGAGGCTTCTTGCTAAATTTTGATTCTGCACCTGAAATTTAGGACCGTTGCAAATGTGGAAAGAAAAAAATTACTCAAATTTGGACAGTTTCATTGTTTTAAAATTGTGCAAAAGGAAAAATTCGAATAAGTACTGGCAAAACCATCTCCGTGGTCTTCGTTAAAAGGGCAAAAGTTTTAGATTGTACTAAATTTTTTTTTAACTTACTGTTAAAAGCAAAAATGGCCATGCAGGTTGACATTGTTGGTAATTTATAATAGCTTTTGTTTCCCAACTTTCCATTTTGTTCAGATTAAAAAAAAAATGAAATTTACTGTGTTTGAAATATTTTCTTATGGTTTGTAATATTTCTGTAAATTTATTGTGATATTTTAAGGCTTTTCCCCCTTTATTTTCCGTAGTTGTATTTTAAAGATTCGGCTCTGTATTATTTGAATCAGTCTGCCGAGAATCCATGTATATATTTGAACTAATACCATCCTTATAACAGGTACATTTTCAACTTAAGTTTTTACTCCATTATGCACAGTTTGAGATAAATAAATTTTTGAAATATGGACACTGAAGTTATGCTTGAGTCTTTTCATTTACTTGGATAACACTGTGATTATACATAACTCCTCAGAATTATAATGCTGTACTCAGCCAGAAAGCAAAATACCAAAAGCCTTGGTATTTCTCGTACAGCAGCAGCATGTGCTGATGTTAATTACAACAAATAAATGGCTGGATGATTAATTGAATAAGTACTCTGGAAAAATTGAAATACTTATATGTTGTTTCTAAAACAGGAACTAGAGACATATATTGTAAATCCACCCCCTCCTTTTCTGAGCAATATGAATAAGCATGATGGGGACTTGTACTTAAAATGATTTATGCCACTTGTTGCCAGAAAGAAGGAAGGAGTTCTGAAATTTTTCATGTAGCTTAGCAGATGGGGTATTGAGCCAAATCGGAACCAGGTTGGCTGGTTTTGTTTTCGTTTTCTTCACAGCACAATGGCTCTTTGGAAACCTGGGTATATGGGAAAAGGATGCTTCTTGTATCGGAATAATGGCAAACTAGACATTCAAAGTGCTCATCTGCTGGGTGGGGGTTTGAATTACTCCGGCCTGCTATTGTCTGAAAGGAAACAAGTGGTTTGCGTTCTTTGTTCTGTGACTTCATAAACTTTCTCCTCTACATTTTTCGGTTTAGGGGCCAGGGAAAGCAGAGAGCGTCTTCTAAAACTCCCCCCCCGAGTTATCATGGCTATTTGTTTTATTATTATTTATTTTCTTTTTTCCCTCTCTCTCCCTCCCTTCCCGAATTTTATTTCTTAAATTGGCAGCGCGGGTCCAAGCCTGTAGCCCCAAATCGGATAATCTCTGCAGCCGATAACAAGCAAAAGAGAAGCCAGGCAACAACCATATTAAAGAAGAAAGCAATCAACTCTGAGGTAGATATTTTACTTTGTGCGGTCTAATCACATTTGGCGATGATTTTGCTTTTGATCTGTTAACAATGTTTTACTACCGTAGTAGAGCGTGGGGGATGGGGTCGGGGGGGGTGGGGAAACAAGATTGGATTTGTTGTTTTCTTTTGCCCTAGGAAAGGTAAAGAAAGGCGATAGTTGTCCTCAGTGGGAGCGGAAAAGTTGGGGAATCGCCACGGTCCTTGAATTAGCGATGCTTCTGCATCACAACCGACCCGCGCTGTGGCGCAGCCGGAAAATCTGTAAGACCGGGTCGGAGTCTTTTCTTCCCAATTTACCACTTGCTTCGCTCATCTTCTCCCACCAAAGAGGGCCAGGAACTAAGAGTTAGGTGTTTTTAAAAGGGAACTTTTGCTTCCCACAATTTCAAGAGCTTGTTGTGTCAACTTGCTACAACTTTGGAGAAGTTGGAATCCGGCAGTGCTGTCCACCTTTGAGTAAAGTAGCCGCTGTAGCCACTAAGATAGTTTGCATCTTCTCGTCTCCAGGAAAGTGTTTCTCGGGCCACTATGGTGTTGCTAATGTTAGTTCTGAACTGAGCTGTGGGTGTCTCATTTTTCTGGAGTCCAGAGGAAAGGGCTAAAGACAAGGCAGACGGCATGGTTTCAGTATTTTTATTTTTGATTGTTTTATTTTAGGTATGTATGGTTTTTTATTTTATTCATTCCTCTTTTCCCCCCCACCCTCTTCAGTTTTAAGGTAACTTTGTACTGGGGAAGGACAATTATTATTCCAGTTCCCAATTCTAAGCAAGGCTATTCCCCCCCCCCCTAATTAATGCAGAGACTCTGAAAGAATTTCTCCTGGCCAGGCCAGCCATTGTAATGCATATACGGATTATTCACGTGGTAATGAGCACATTCGACAGCTCTTGCTCACACATACGAATAAAAGAAACTTTGAATAAAGATCCAAATGATCTTGCTGGGGGGTGGAGGACATATTCTCGGAATTTGAGCCAATCAACTATATAGTGTATATATTTGAAAAATAGAGATATATTAGAAATATGTATAGATATTTTAGAGTAATTGCACTGGACTATAACCCCCCCTTAAAAAAAAAAAAAAAACCTCTACGATTCTACGATCAGACTAGCTAACTAAAGAACAACTTCGTTAAAACTCTTGGGTTCAAATATTTTTCAAGAGGGAAGATGATAGTATTTTGGAAAGCTGAAATAGTTTGGAATGCTTGTCACTGCACAAAACTCTCTTTTGATACCAAAAAAAAAAAAACCTTTCCCTCCCCCATGCCTCCATATCTACAAATCAAATACTTGTAAAAATGGAAATCAGTATTTTGTTTGCAAATATAATTTGTTAATAAGTTGCTTCTGAGGAAAATGATACATAGCTCATGGCATCATTCACCTCATTGTGTTAAATGTGCCCCCAAGACTTGTAGTTTTATGGCCAGGTTAGTATTGGACATACAATATTTTATTTATAATGTGATTTTCAAGAAGGGGTGGGGGTGAACCCATAAACTTGCCCAGAGATGGTTATCCTCTGGTGCTGAAGCTAGTCATTTTGTGTTCTGCTCTTTCCTCGGGGTATTATTCTGCTCATTAAAACCACTCAATTTCCAGTCAAAGGAGGTAAATTTACATGTTTCATTAACCTTACATGCAGAGTAGAAATATGCAGAAGATGAGATTATAGTTCGTTTCTCTCTGCAATATTTTCTATTCCCACATCCCCCTCCTCCGTACTTTAAATAAAGAGTGTTAAAATATTTTGCTGAGCTGTAGGGATAGATTATAGCAAGGTTTCTTGCCAATGCTGGGAAGCTGGTATTACAAACGGTCCCAGGGGAAAATGGCTCACATTAACCACTAAATGAATATTTGACAAGGGCTCATTCGGAGGTATTATTACTATAAATGTGTCCCTACTGGACTTTTCAAGGGTCAAAGAGCAACGCTTCAATTAATTATTTAGACTGCTAGTAGATTTGGTTGTAATAGCTGTACTTATTTCTAGAACTGGGACATTCTTGCAGTGGGAAATCTCAGTAGAATCTTCTCCATCAGCAACGCCTTGGATTGAAACACATATGGAGCCCTGGCATTCTAAATCTGATTTTTTCATAAAACATTTTCCTGGGCTGGAAAAAAATTATAGTCTCTTTTTCTATTTCATTGACAGGTTTTGGTTTAAAGGGGGGGAAAAGATAGTAATTTATCTTAATTTCTACATCATGTCTGGAAAGGTTTTTTGGGGCCTTTCAATTTGAGGAGAGAAGGGTGGGTATTTATTTATAACCTTTGCCATTTCTAGGTGGAGATGCCACTGGATTTCAGAGACTCAGGTAGTTTCTGAATTTAGACAGGATACGTGATCCTGTTTGCTGGAAAATTCACGTTTTAAAATGGAAGACTCCGTAGGCTGAGTACTCTGAGAGTTCTAGTAATCTCAGTAAATTGGGGTGCAAGGTAGTATCTCCTCCTCCACCTATTGATTTGAACACTTGGAGGTGCAGTGGGGGAGGTGCATGTTCCATTTCTGCCATGTCACAAGTTCCTCCGTGGCCCTAGGTAAAATAGTAAGGTAGTGATTTTGAGAGTAAGATTCGTTGACAATAATATAAGTTGAATGAATAAGAGATAAGCTGCTAGGGAGGGGTGCAGAAAGCTGCAATTACAAACCCAATTCATTCAGCTTTTCAGAACTTTTGTTGTGGGAGCTCCATTGACGGGTTGTGAGCTGCCAGTTTCTCACATTAAAAAGAACTGATCAGCCCCTCAGGGGGACTAGAAATACCGCTTAACTGCATAGTGATGGGGTCTTCATTTAGAACCATTACAAGAAGAAAATTAAACAGTGCCTTTGTGTGCACAAGGTTTACTTTTCAATTGCTAACAGTTTATAGCTAACTGCTCTGAGATTGAAGTATGACTGAGGTTTGATCGCCTGCTAGTTGGCACCACTTATTTATTTATCTATTGTAATTAAAAGAGCTTTTTATCACCCCCTATCTTTCCCTCCCCCCTTCCTTTTTTTACTTGCTCTTTTCTAGACAATTTTGCAAAACAGATCATCATATTTTGCTTTGTGGAAGAAATTTCCTGTACCATGAGCTTTAACA